TTAGTGTTAACAAATGGAGATTTGGTATCAGATATTACTGTAGGTGAAAGTTTAGGATCCAGTGATCATCAGTCAGTGTGGTTTAATATAAGAACAGTGACTGAGTCACACCACACAAAAACAAAAGTTTTAGACTTTAGAAAAACAGACTTTTCTAAAATTAGAATATGGGTAGAGGAGTCTTTATCAGACTGAAGCAATTTAAATGGAGTCCAAGAGAAATGGGATTATTTAAAAGTTGCACTATTGAAGGCAACAGAAAATTGCATTAGGCTTGTCAGTAAAAGCAAAAAATTCAAGAAACCACTGTGGTACACCGCAGATGTGGCCAAAATAGTTAAAAACAAAAAGTTAGCATTTAGGAATTATAAAAAAAAAACAGAGTGAGGAAGACAAAATGATCTATAAGATTAGGCAGAAAGAGGCTAAGCAAGTTATAAGAGCTTCCAAATCACACACAGAAGAGAAAATAGCACAGTCAGTAAAAAAGGGGGATAAAACATTTTTTAGACACATAAATGAGAAAAGAAAAGTAAAACAAGGATTAGTTAGATTAAAAACAAAAGAAGGAAGGTATGTAGAAGGGGATAAAGGTCTAGCTGACTGCCTCAATGAATATTTTTGTTCTGTATTTATAGATGAAAATGAAGGAAAGGGACCTCAGTTGAGAAAAAGGATAAATAAGTCATTTATTACACGTGAGTTTACAGAGGAAGAGGTTCTATTTCAACTGTCAAAATTAAAGACAAATAAGTCAATGGGACCTGATGGAATACACCCAAAGCTATTAAAAGAGCTTAGTGGTGTACTAGCAAAACCATTAACAGATTTATTTAACCAATCATTGTTAACAGGAGTAGTCCTAGAAGATTGGAAGTTAGCGAATGTTGTGCCCATTTACAAGAAAGGTAATAGGGAGGAGTCGGGCAACTATAGGCCAGTAAGCCTTGCTTCAGTAGTGGGGAAAGTGATGGAAACCATGTTAAAGGATAGGATTGATGAACATCTAAAAACACATGGATTTCAAGATCAGAGACAACATGGGTTTACTTCAGGGAGATCATGCCAAACTAATCTTATTGATTTTTTTGATTGGGTAACTAAAATTATAGATCAGGGTGGTGCAGTAGACATTGCTTACCTAGATTTCAGTAAGGCTTTTGACACTGTTGCACATAGAAGGCTTATCAATAAACTGCAATCTTAAGTTTGGATTCCAATATTGTTGAATGGGTAAGGCAGTGGCTGAGTGACAGGCAACAGAGGGTTGTAGTTAATGGAATATATTCGAAGCTTGGACTTGTCACCAGTGGGGTACCTCAGGGATCTGTACTTGGACCCATTCTCTTTAATATTTTTATTAGTGATATTGCAGAAGGTCTTGATGGTAAGGTATGTCTTTTTGCTGATGATACTAAGATATGTAACAGGGTTGATGTTCCAGGAGGGATAAGCCAAATGACAAATGATTTAGGTAAACTAGAAAATGGTCAGAATTGTGGCAACTGACATTTAATGTGGATAAGTGCAAGATAATGCATCTTGGACGTAAAAACCCAAGGGCAGAGTACAGAATATTTGATAGAGTCCTAACCTCAACATATGAGGATAGGGATTTAGGGGTGATTATTTCTGATGACTTAAAGTTAGGCAGACAATGTAATAGAGCAGCAGGAAATTCTAGCAGAATGCTTAGTTGTATAGGGAGAGGTATTAGCAGTAGAAAGAGCTCATGCCATTGTACAGAACACTGGTGAGACCTCACTTGGAGTATTGTACACAGTACTGGAGACCGTATCTTCAGAAGGATATTGATACCTTAGAGAGGGTTCAGAGAAGGGCTACTAAACTGGTTCATGGATTGCGGGATAAAACTTACCAGGAAAGGTTAAAGGATCTTAACATGTATAGCTTGGAGGAAAGACGAGACAGGGGGGATATGATAGAAACATTTAAATATATAAAGGGAATCAACACAGTAAAGGAGGAGACTATATTTAAAAGAAGAAAAACTACCACAACAAGAGGACATAGTCTTAAATTAGAGGGACAAAGGTTTAAAAATAATATCAAGAAGTATTACTTTACTGAGAGGGTAGTGGATGCATGGAATAGTCTTCCAGCTGAAGTGGTAGAGGTTAACACAGTAAAGGAGTTTAAGCAAGCGTGGGATAGGCATAAGGCTATCCTAACTATAAGATAAGACTAGGGACTAATGAAAGTATTTAGAAAATTGGGCAGACTAGATGGGCCGAATAGTTCTTATCTGCCGTCACATTCTATGTTTCTATATATCTATGCTAGTATCTGTCCTGTTACGTCCCTGATATGTCCTTTAGACCAACCCACCTAGACATAGCACTGTGTTCACCAACCTATCTGAAAGTCGTTTTTCTAGTAACAATGTATTCCTGCTAGAGCACAGACTCAGGATGCGATTTTTAAATACTAGGTCCCAGTAAACATCTCCAGAATCCAGGCACCAGCAGAATCAGGTATCCAGGGCTGTGTTTCACCTGAAGTTCTACATTCAGGATATGTAATATTAAGGAATTAAGCATATATTATATTGTCTGAAGTAGCTCCCCTGTGTTTTTAGATTCATACTTTTATACATTTTTTTAATGAGTTTTTTATGTATAGAAATGATTGGCATGCATTTAATTATATCCCCTCTCCATCAAATGGCTTGTGGTAGAGGATGGTCATTTGATTGAGTTTAAGAAGAAAGAATGTAATCAGGGAAATATATATATATATCCCTTTAACTTCTGCAATAAGAATAAACTCCACCTTATTAAAAGCGTTTGCCAACTTTACAAATGAGTGTAAAAGTAAGGATGCTGACACACACGTAGATATTCACTTATACAGGTAATCATAAGTACTTAGCGATAGCTTGTGAAATTGTCTTGGAATGGTTAAAAGGGCAACCATTTATGTTCTTAGTCTGTTGGGAATAAAGGCTTTACCTAGATTGCCAATCAAAGCCACGCATCAGTGTTTTGACTTCAACAATAACATATCTATCTGCAATTAAAATACCGGTAGATGTAAATTAAAGACTGTTTCATGCTGCTGGTTGTTCATTCCACCTATTTTAGTCCAAATGTCAAACATGCAATGAAAAAATATTTTAAAAAATATTATATCCTTATGATGTAACTAATAAAACACTCTGGGCACCAACACAACTGAAGTGCATGTGATATGTTTTTAAATGGTTTGGGCCTCATATTCATGCTGTATTTTTCTTCCTTTTTAAACTTTTTTTGTTCTGTTACAATCTCTAGGATAGGATAATCTCTAGGATAATTTAATGATTCCATCCAGTAAATGTATTTGTATATCTTTTATATAAATTAAATATTGCTTGATTCCTGAAGCCACTTACAGAAAGGATCTAAATGTGACACTTTATTTTTTCAATTTGACATTTTTTTTACTATATTTTGAGAAACTCAATGTAAAGTAGATAAATCTGTGAGATTTAGAAATATTGTTCATGGCGAAAAGAAGAAAAATACTACAGTAGAACAGCATGATATCTGTGCAAAAAAGTCCATATGTGCAATGTCAAAAGTGCTGTGTCTGCTCATTTATAAATGACAAATGTTTGAGAAATTGAAACAGAATGTGTTTTGTTTCCTCTAAACCACATCACGACTTTGTTGCTCCACTTCTCTTTACCATATATCCTGACCTCATGTACATCATGTCTGTAGCTCAGGATCAAATATCTATTTTACAACATACTTCTCTTTAAAATGTGCATTTTACTAAGACATGATGTCTAAAATAGGAACCTCAAAGGGAATCTGTTATTGACAGCCTTAATCTCGGTCTATAATCTGATTTCAGTACCAACAAATCAATATCTGTAACACCCTTTGGAAACAGTTAAATGTATAACTGGTTAAGCTACAGATTCCCATTGAAATATAATAATCAATATATTAATAACAAATAACAAACTTTGTTTCAATAAATGATGATGATTATGTAATCATCTGAAACAGGGCTGCCATCAAACATTTTCTCCTCCCCAGAGTCCACTAGTAAAAATTGCCCCCCATTTCACCATTATCTTACAGACACTAAGTTTCTCAGTAAATCAGACTTGTTCCAGCATTAAGCCTTGGCTCATGTGTGGATTATTCGGCGATACCAGCGATTTATTACTCTGTGGATTACATAGCGATTTTATTTTATGGGAAGAAGGGAATGCTTGACGGAGTAAAGGATTGTACCATCACAACCTCCATGAACCCAGATGAAGGAAGAAGGGAGCAGAGGGCACCGGGAAGCACAACCACCCTGGCCCACAAGCTACCATACAATGCCTTCAAAGAGTTCAAGGAAGCAGAAGAAGGCATCTATGACTTTTTACAAGACTTTGAGCGCCAGTGCCTACTCCAAGACGTGGACCCCAGCGACTAGGTCACCATCCTTGCCAGCAAACTAGTGGGGAAGGCAGCGGATATTTACCTGGGCTGTATCAGAAGAGCAGATCAGAGACTATCCCTTTACTACCTAAATCCTCCTGGCCCGGTATTCGGTCACCTCCGAGCAATACCACCGAAAGTTTAGGGAGACCAGGAAAGGGGAGAAGGACTCCCATGTGGAGTGGGCATGCCGCATCACAAGGGTCACCCAGAACTGGCTCAACTCCCATCAAGCCAAGTTCCCGGAGGAGATCACCCAGCTCGTCATGCTAGAGCACTTTTTCAATGGGCTCCCCAACGACACGGCTGGTGAGAGACCGCCAGCCGCAGACCCAAGAAGTATTGGTAGGAGCTGCTGAAGCTAGCTCATGATATCCCCTTGGCAGGGCATTTGGGCAGGAGCGGCAGCGTCTCGGCTCACCCACAGCTTCTTCTGGCAAGGCATCTCTCAGGCTCTGAGGCAGTATTGCCAGATGTCTGCCAGAGAGTGGGGAAAAGAAGGGACCAGCACAGGGCCCCCCCTCCATCCCCTACCTATTAGTGAAGATCCGTTCAGCAGAGTAGCTGTGGACATTATAGTTGCGCAGGCACTTTGGTGACTCTAGAGAACCTCGGGCCAATCGCACGTCCCCGTGATGGCAACTTTGCCCTATCAACTTTCCATGCCACTTTCTGCGCCTACCATGGTGACCACGGGTAACGGGGAATCAGGGTTCGATTCCGGAGAGGGAACCAGAGAAACGGCTCCCACATCCAAGGAAGGCAGCAGGCGCGCAAATTACCCACTCCTGAGGCGGGGAGGTAGTGACGACAAATAACAATACAGGACTCTTTAGAGGCCCTGTAATTGTAATGAGTCAACTTGAAATCCTTTAACTATGATCAATTGGAAGGAAGTGTGGTGCAGAGCCACTGACCCGTGCGTGCTGCAGCTGAAACTCCACTATTGCCTGCTGCTGCTCGCACAATCTCTCCAGCATGGAGTTCCACCTTGTGGGCACGTCGCATATGAGGCGGTGAGCGGAAAGGCCAAAGTTACGCTGCAGCGCAGACAGGCGAGCAGCAGCAGGGTGAGAACGCCGAAAGCGCGCACAGCCGCTACAGTGAATGTCACATCCTGTTCCAAGTTGCGGCTCACTCTGGTGATGGCTTCTGGTATCCAGTACTCTTTTCACTGAAGCTGCATCAGGGTCCTAGTATGTGACTAATGATCAGAGTAGGATCAGCGCTAGTAGTGCCACAAAAAATATATATATAAAATTGTAAGAAGGCAGCACACCTAAAAAGGGGTAACCCTCCTATCCCCTAAAGCTAAAACAGAAATGCGTGCCTTTAATAAAAATACATAAATATATCACTAAAATGTACAGTAAAAATGAGAATAAAAAAAGTCCAAAATTAATAGTCCACAGGTATATAGGAAGTGTTCTTTATAGCGTGATATGGTATCGTCCCAGATGATGACTTGTGATTTTTCAGTGGGTCATATGTGGAAAGATAAGAAGAACAGCCAATGGTACAGTATGTCGGTATAGGTGGATATATATAAGTAAAAATGGAATTACTCACAATTTCCAGAGCTAAAATCCAGCTCTGGTATGAAGCCCGTGAAGTGGAATGATCCCAACTCAAGGATGTATGGAGCCGTTTCTTGTAAAATGGATGGTCCACCAATGATTCCGACCGGAAATTAAAACAAATAAAATATATAGTGCTCACTGTATATTTAAAATTGAGTTAAGAGATGGTATGAAATGTACTCACGATGTATTGAGCAATCCTCTCTGCTCAATTTTAGGCGTATGGGTGGTATAATCCCCACCTAGGGATGTTTCCTTAAATTCGTATTAGTTCAAGTTGGTCAGGTATAGATATAAAAATAGTTAAAAGAACAGGAATGTGGCAATAAATATTTGAGGCCAAAATTCCTTTATTATTACAATGTAAAATATAGTAAAATAAATTCTAAACGCGTTTCGCCCACAACAGGCTTCTTCAAGTAGAATATAGTAAAAATGTATTTATTTATTGCCACATTCCTGTTCTTTTAACTATTTTTATCTCTATACCTGACCAACTTGAACTAATACGAATTTGAATTTTTCAAAGTGCGCTGTAAGCACAGTGTTTGACGGTTCTATTTGACTGTCAGAAATGAAGTGCACCGCAGGACGCAAATGTACTATTTAGCATTAGCACCCAAAACAATTAGAATTTTTCAAAGTGCACTGAAAGCACAGTGTTTGACGGTTCTTTTTGACTGTCAGATATGAAGTGCACCGCAGGACGCAAATGTACTATTTAGCATTAGCACCCAAAACAATTAGAATTTTTCAAAGTGCGCTGAAAGCACAGTGTTTGATGGTCCTATTTGACTCTCAGATATAAAGTGCAGGGCCCAAATGTACTATTTAGCAGATTTGCACCAATACAATTAGAATGTTTACAATTGCGCTGTAACCGCAGTATTTGACGCTTCTATTTGACTCTCAGATATGAAGTGCAGGGCCCAAATTTACTATTTAGCAGATTTGCACCAGAAAATAAGAATGTTTACAATTGCGCTGTAACCGCAGTATTTGACGCTTCTATTTGACTCTCAGATATGAAGGCACCCACCAATGTACTATTTAGCAGATTAGCACCCAGAAAATAAGAATGTTTACAATTGCGCTGTAACCACAGTATTTGACACTCTATTTGACTCTCAGATATGAAGAGCACGCCCCAAATTTACTATTTAGCAGTTTAGCACCAAAACAATTAGAATTTTTACAACTGCGCTGTAGCAGATTAGAACCCAGAAAATAAGAATTTTTCAAAGTGCGCTGAAAGAACAGTGTTTGATGGTCCTATTTGACTCTCAGATATGAAGTGCAGGGCCCAAATGTACTATTTAGATTAGCAGAATGTAATTGCACCAGCATTTGACATTTGATCAGATATGAATGCAGATTTACAATTGAATGTTTACAATTGCGCTGTAACCGCAGCATTTGACGCTTCTATTTGACTCTCAGATATGAAGAGCACGCCCCAAATTTACTATTTAGCAGATTAGCACCCAGAAAATAAGAATGTTTACAATTGCGCTGTAACCACAGTATTTGACGCTTCTATTTGACTCTCAGATATGAAGAGCACGCCCCAAATTTACTATTTAGCAGTTTAGCACCAAAACAATTAGAATTTTTACAACTGTGCTGTAAACGCAGTATTTGACGCTTCTATTTGACTCTCAGATATGAATTGCACCCCACTAATGTACTTTTTAGCACCCAAAAAATGTTTACATTTTAAAACTGCAATGTGACAGCAGTATTTGACGCTTCTATTTGACTCTCAGATATGAAGTGCACATCCCAAATGTACTATTTCGCAGTTTAGCACCAAAACAATTAGAATTTTTACAACTGCGCTGTAACCGCAGTATTTGACGCTTCTATTTGACTCTCAGATATGAAGTGTAGGGCCCAAATTTATTATTTAGCAGATTAGCACCCAGAAAATAAGAATGTTTACAATTGCACTGTAACCGCAGTATTTGACTCTTCTATTTGACTCTCAGATATGAAGAGCACGCCCCAAATTTACTATTTAGCAGTTTAGCACCAAAATAATTAGAATTTTTACAACTGCGCTGTAACCGCAGTATTTGACGCTTCTATTTGACTCTCAGATATGAAGTGCACCCCACTAATGTACTTTTTAGCACCCAAAAATTTTTTACATTTTAAAACTGCAATGTGACAGCAGTATTTGACGCTTCTATTTGACTCTAAGATATGAAGAACCAATTAAGAGTTCCCATTACTATTTGAATATCTGGGGTTTTCCATTGATGAGTCCAACAATTCCCATGAAACTGATAAAGACAGCAGTCAGCAACAATACGAGCAACAAAATGTGTTCTTCCTTAAAAATAAGCACAAAGAAACAATACATAGTTTATATAATAGGTGAAATTGTTCAGTTAGTTAACACACAATCTTTGTTTTCAGACTTCAGATTTATAGGTTCTGTTCTTGGCAGAGCCAATTTTTACCTTTAGTTCTAAAACAGTAAATTACATAATTATCATTGTTTTGGATACTCATAACGTACATACAAACTAGAGACATGAAAATGTATTCATCCTGGATACGTTGATGATATATTTGTATCACAATTAAAATTGGAGCTATACCTTCTCTATAATTTATAGTATTGAACAAAACATTGAGAATTATCTATTACTTGTTTTAACCTTTTTTTTCTCGAGAGAGACATTTTAAAAAAAATGTATACTAAAGATTTTGGCATCATGACATCATAATGCAGCTGAATTCAATTCAAACTCCAACATGACCCATGTGCTGAGACATTAAAAGACAACTGTCACCTCAAATTTCTTTTACAATTTAATAATCTTTTCATCAAGTTTTGAAAGGATACATTTTTCATGAACCATATGTAAAAACTTAGAAAAACTCATCCCTACCTTAAGTATATGACAGGATCATTCAGCCATATATATGCTGCATCCTGGTCAGACAATGTTTGACCACCCACATTTAGTGTCTATGGTCTGACTGCCCCCATTAGTTAAATTAAAACAGAGCATGGCCTGCTGGCTCTCTCCCTCTCTTCTCTGTGATATGTTAATTGACAGTGGTGCCTGCCACTTGGTTCCTCCAGCTCCCACCCTGTTATATTCAGGCAGGCACTGCACTGACTGAGACTCCCAGGCCTCTGGTAGAGGACTCAAAAATGAGAAATACAAACACAAATAAATATATATATATATTTATATATATACATGCCACCCTGGAGGGGTGAGAAACTCAATATATATTTTCCAAGCCAGTTGTGAAAGAGGAGTCACTGATTGGCTGAGAGCATCAGCTGACCATTTGCAGCCAATCGGCAGCGCTCCGACCCGGCGGCTTCCTGAATCTAAAAATACTGCACTACGTGACTCCAGCTTATATAGAGAGGCTGGGTCACATGCTCCACTGGCCAATCACAGCCATGCCATTAGTAGGCATGGCTGTGATGGCTTCTAAGGGCACACAAGTCAAACGCTTGTTGATTGGCTGCCCTGCAGCCTTTCAAAACGCGCCATTAAATCGCCGAACACCGAACTCATACCCAAACATAAACTGATATGTCCGTGTTCGTGTCTGGGGGCCAAAAACTTAATGTTCGGTACGAACCCAAACTTTACAGTCCGGGATCGCTCAGCTCTAGTAATAAGTAAACAAAAAGGTTTAAAAACAAGTTTTAAAAAGTAAAAAAGTTAAAAATATACATTCAAAAATGCTCATTACCACTACACCTGGAACAAACTAGCAAAATAATTATCCCATGCTAAAGTTCAAAATATGCCTTTTGCATTATTCCAGGGTGTTTTCTTTAATAAATAGTATGTGTTTGTGGGGATGTTTGAATAACCAACCAGCTAAACTACTCCAAAATATAACATGGACACAGCATAAAACTGAATGACTGCGTCTCAAAGGTGCCCCTTCAATATCTACATATACCTGGCAAAGGTACATATGGGGGTATTGCAGTACTTAGACGACATAGCTGAGCAACATATGAAGTATTATACAGTCGTAGCACACATAAGGTTTGCAAAATATACTGTGCAAACTCGCTTTGTGTGTCAAAAAGGCAGAAGAAACGCTTATTACCACTACACTTGGTACAAGCTAGCGGAAAAATGATCCCACGCTAAGGTTCAAAATATGCCTTTTGAAATACCCTGGGATGTCTTCTTTAAGAAATGGCATGCTTTATGGTGTAGCTGGAACATGTAGCCTGC